CGGCGGCATGCAGATCTTTGTGAAGACGCTGACCGGCAAGACGATTGCCCTCGAGGTGGAGGCGAGCGACACGATCGAGAACGTGAAGGCGAAGATCCAGGACAAGGAGGGCATCCCGCCGGACCAGCAGCGGCTGATCTTTGCGGGGAAGCAGCTGGAGGAGGGCCGCACGCTGGCGGACTACAACATCCAGAAGGAGTCCACGCTGCATCTCGTGCTGCGCCTGCGCGGCGGGTGTTAAAGGCTTTTGTCCAGTCTTTTGAAGGCAGCCTATGGCTCTGCGTGTCTTGTTGTGTGAGTGTAAGTTGCCTTTTGAGGCGCCGTGTGCCGTTTCTAGTTAGTAGGCGCCGGCTGAGGTCTGCTGCAGCCGTTGGGATTTCGTCGTTGACATTGTTTCTCTGCTACTGAAATATTATTTTTTTTTTTCTGGGGGCGAGTGAGTGGGTGGGTGGGGAGATGGTTTGTTTGTGCGTTTGCCCCTCCCCCCTCCCGTTTTTTTTTGGATGTGTTTTGTGTACTGCCCTGCTCATGTTTTTGTTTTTGTTTTGTTTTTGTTTTGTTTTTGTGTTTTTGCTTTGGTTTTCAGCCTCGTCGCCTTCGCTTGCCCGTCCTCTTGGGGAGCGGCGAGGGGGCGGAGGGTGCGTGTCGCGGGGCCGCGGCTCCCTTTGCGGTGCCTGGCCGCCGCGCGCTTGCGTGTGTGTGTGTGTGGAGTTTTTAGCGTGTTTTTTTTGTTTTGTTTTTTTTCTCTCTCTTCTGGTTTGTGCTCCGCCGCTGTGGGTGTGGGGCTGCGACGGCGCCCGGCAGAAGACGAGGTGGTCGCGGCGGCTGCAGCATTTACGCGCCCCGCCGCCGCCCCCGCCTGAGCGCCTCTGCGGCCGGACACACGCACGCAAAGCGAGAGAGTGAAGGGAAAGAGAAAGAGAGAGAGAAGAGAAAAAAAAAGGGGGAGAAAATGACGGCTGCCGCGGCGCCGCAGGGCGACGGTGATGCTCCCCCGTTTGCGCGGATTCCGACGCCGTCGATGGCGTCGGAGGAGTTTAGGGCGGAACTCCCCGCGTTCGACGGCGCGAAGGCGATGCCGCCGCCGCGCGGCGTCTTCGAGCGCTTCGCCCGGGTGCTGCAGCTGCAGTTCGGGCAGGACCCCGACATCCCCCTCCTCGGCGCCGCGCTGGAGCGGAAGTACGACGGCTGGCTCGACTACGCCACAAGCCCCGTCGCCCCGCTGCGCCCCCGCGGCTACGCGGACGCCTACACCCGGCCGAACCCCTGCCCGGAGGAGTACTGGTGGGCCTCCTGGCGCTGGCCGCGGACGAAGTACGTGAACGCGAAGGTGCCGCCGCCGGTGGACGGCAAGTACAACGACTACTACCACTACCTGGCCTACAAGAACTGGCTGGAGCGGGAGCGAGACGTCTACGTGGCGCACGCCAACCTGGTGAACGAGATGACCATGCGCTGCCTGGTGCGGGAGGGGCAGTACAACGCCGCCAAGAACTGCCGCCACCTGTACAACAAGGAGTTTGCCATGTCCCGCATGGAGGAGTTCAACCAGGCCCTGCTCTACATGGCACTCACGGGAAACGCGGCGATTCGGGAGACGCCCTACCCGGAGAACTTTGTCGAGGAGAAGCGTAAAATTTACGACGACTGGCTCTTTCGCACACGCATGCGGAAACCGGGCGACGTGCTCTAGACGTCGCAGCGGCAGTAGCCGCTGCTGTAGTATTATTAGCATTAGTAGCAGTAGTAGAGTCGCATAGCGGGTGGCCTGCATATATATATATATGTGTGTGTGTGCTTCTGTGAGTTTTGGGGGTTCTTTTTTTTTTGTTGTTGCTGCTGTTGTTGTTGTTGTTGTTGTGCGTTCGCGCGAAAAGTGTGGGCGCGACGTGCCCCCCCCCCCCTCAGCGCTCGCCGCCGAACGACTTGTAGTGGTGCCGCCGTGAGTAGAAGTGAGGCCGCGGCGAAAAAAAAAAAGGGAGGGACATTGACACGGGGTTTATATTTCTCTGGCTCTTTTCCAAACTCTCCGTTTCTGTACGCGGGTTGGGCGCGTGCGTGCGGGGAGCTGCCCGCTCCCGCGTTTTGCTGCGCCCTGCGCCGGCGCTGTCTGCCCCTCCCCCCCGTCGCCTCCCACGCGCCTCACTCGCCGCATGCCCACCCGCACAGCAAGTAGTAAAAGCACCGTAGGCGCAGAATGTCTGCATGGGCGCTGCTGCCGAGCAGCAGCGGCGGCGGCGGGGCCGCGGAGGACGCGAACGAGGCAACGCTGCAGGAGGGCGCGCGTCTTCACAAGCTGGCGCGCGCCGTCGATGAGCTCGTCGCCTGGAGCTTCCTCATGGACGAGAAGGCGGCGGCTCTGCAGGAGCTGGAGCAGGTGGTGGACGACGCCGAGCGGCAGCTGGAGCAGGCGGAGCAGGCGCTGGCGCACCAGCGGCGGCGCTGCGCCCTTATCCCGGGCCCCGCCGACGTCGGCCACGCGCGGAGGGGAGTCCTGCGTCCACCGCCGCACGCAGCGGGGGGCGAGGATTGCGGGCTCAGCGCGCTGTGGCAGGAGCACGGCGGCGCCTTCACGCGGCAGTATGAGCGGCACCTGGCGCGCTACCAGCGCCTTTGGTGGGAGTTGTTGGAGGAGCCGAGGGCGACGTCGGCAACGCACTGACGACGGCAAGCGCAGGAGCCGCGCGGCGTGCTGCTCTTCCTTCGTTCCCTTCTGTTTTTTTTATTCTGCTGTTTCCGTTCGTGCTTGTTTTTCGCCACTCGAGTTAAGGTTCTGCGTGTGTGTGAGAGAGAGAGGCAGCGACCACCCTTTTCTATATACCCATATATATATATATATCTATGTGTGTGTGTGTCTCTCTCTCTCTCTCTGTCTCTGGGTTGGCGTCAAGGTTAGAAGCAGGAGAGTCGGGTGGCGAGCCGCCGTTGGCGTTGGTGGGTTCTGCCGTTGGGTGTTGCTGGGGGCTCGCGAACAGGGGCGCGCCTACCGCACCCCACCACCGCAGCGGCAACATGAGCGTTGACCCACTCGCCCTGGCCAGCGAGGACCGGCACGAGCTGCAGCGGCTGCTCAAGGAGAACAGGGAGCTGCGGCAGGCCAACGCCCTGCTGCGGGTGTCTGCGGAGGCGAAGGGGAGCCGCGGCAACGGCGGCGTGAAGGGCGCCGCCGAAAAGGGGCGCGACAACGCCGGCACTTCGGAGGAGTCGGTGGGGAGCAAAGCCACCGCGGCGAGCGTGCGGAGGCTGAAGGACGAGCTGCAGCGCGCCAGGGAGGCGCTGGAGCGGGCCCGGCGCGAGCAGGCGGCGGCGCTGGAGGAGCATAAGCAGATAAAGTCCCTCTTCGAGGCCTTTGTGGTGGAGGCGTGTGAGCGGGAGGAGGCCTGCAGGCGCGTCTTCGCCAGGGTCTACGAGGAGGTCGGGGAGCAGCAGAAGCTCTGCGAGGGGCTGCGGCGACAGTTGCAGGAGCGACCGCCCACCGCACCGGCCCCGGCACCCCGGCCCCGGCCCCGGCACCAGCACCGCCCGCCCCCGCCCCCGTCGTCGTCGCCGGCGTTGACCCCGCCTCGCTGCACGACCTCGTGGAGAGCCTGCGCGCCGCGCTCGGCGAGCTGGAGCACCGCCTGGGCTACGGCGGGGACACCGGCGGCCGCCGCACCACCGCCGCGGCACGCGTGACACGCGCGAAGGCGCGACCGCAGCCGGAGGAGGAAGAGGCCGTCCAACAGCAGCAGCAGCCACCGCCGCCGCCGCAGCAGCAGCAGCAGAAGGGGACGGGCGGCGCGGCGCGTTTGGTGTTGCCGGCGCGAGGTGCGGGCGCCCTGCGTGCCGCCGCGGTGGTCTCCGGGGCGCAAAGCACAGCCACGGAGCGCAGGAAGCGGGTGCGACGGGGCACGGAGGACACGGCGAAGCCGAAGCGACGCGCGAGTGAGCAGGCCGCCGCAGCCGCCGCTCAGGCAGCGTCGCTCTTTAATAATTTCACGCCCGCCACCGAGGCGTCGAAGGGGGGTTCGGTGGTGAATTTCGGCAATGAGCCCATCGCCGACTACTTGCGTTTGCTGGAGAACACGGACGCGGGCAAGGTGGACGTGCTGCGGCGGGAGCTGAGGAAGTTTTGTGGGGGCAACGTGAGTGTTCTCGCCTCGTGCGCCGTGGAGCACTTTCTCAGCAAGCCTGTGCTGGGCGCCGCCGTCGTAACTTTGTGGAAGCACACGGAGCGGGTGATGCACCTCGGCCAGGATGTGTTCCCTGCCTTTATGACGCAGGCGGTGCGGAAGCTGGTGCAGCTGCTGGGCCCCGACGCTGCCGCGGAGTTTGACCACACGCCCCAGCTGCGCTGCCTGGCACTCGCTGTGCGGGCGGCGTGCGCTATCCAGCTGCGGGACACGGCGCAGGCCGCGGAGGCGTCCCTCTTCGTGGCCTTCTACGAGTGCACCGTGAGCGCGCTGCGCAGCTGGCGCCAGCTGCGAGGCTCGCCGGACGCGCCGCACCACGTGCTCGGGCCGTGGATGGTTGCGGCGCAGCACCTCTGCGGGTTTGTGGTGGACTTTCACGAGGTGGTCCACTACTACGCCAACTCGGAGCGGGTGCTGGACGCCCTCGCCCTCCCCGCCTCCCTCACCCGCTACGCCGCGCAGGCGGTGATGGCCGCCTGCTACTTCACCTCCTCGCCACAGTCGTCCGCGGCGGCACCGCTGGGCGCCGCGGCGGCGGCGGCGTGGATGCGCTTCTGCGATGCCATGGACTGGAGCTACAGCGAACTGCCGCTGGAGAGGATAGGCGCGGCCGCGGCGCGGATTCTCGCCCGCGGCGAAGCAGAGCACAGCCGTGGCGAGGCCCTGCTCTCGCTGCGGCTGCTGGTGCTGCAGAAGGGGCTTGGCTTCCTGCAGTCGCTCACGGAGGCGCTGCGGGCCGCGGGGGGCGAGGTGGACATTGACGCCGCCTTTGCGGAGCTGTTCAGCCTCGCAGTGATCGACCTGCAGCTGGAGGACCCCCGCGACGAGCAGTGGGGCCGCGCCATGGCGTTTTTCGCCGACTACCTCAGCGCGGCCTCGGTGGCGCAGGCAAAGTCCGCAGCGGAGCTCCTCGCCGCCTGCAAGGGGACACATCTGCTGGTCCTGCGGGCCGTGCTGCAGCTGTGCCACGGGGCGGGCACCGTCACCGAGGCGGGCGCCGAGCATCTGGCGAAGGCGCTTCAGTGGGCGAAGGCGCTGCACGTCGGGCTCGCGCGCTCCACGCGGGAGAGCAAAGCCACCACCGCGCAGCCGCACCCTTTTGCGTGCACACTGCTGGGACAGCAGCTGCGCCAGCTTTGCTCCCAGGAACTGTAGGGCCGCGTGATGACGGCGGGGCGGGGAGAGGGGGGAGGCACACAACGACGTGCATCCTCACGCATTCCCCCAAACAGGCAACACGCAAACCGAACAAAAAAGAAAAAGAAGACGAAGATCATTGCACCTCCCGCTTGCCTTGTATTCCGTGTTATATATATACACACGCATGCACATGTCTGTGTCTTTATTGCGCCTCCTTCCCTGGGCTTTGACTTTCCCCTCTGTATGCCTGTGCTGCTGCTGCGGTGGTTGTGGTGGTGGCGGCGGCGGTGTACCGCCCGTTAGTGACGTGTTTTTTTTCTTTCCTCTTTATTTCTCTTTCTCTTTCTCTTTCTCTCTTCCCGTTTCTTTCCTCTTCCCTCCTTCCTTCGGCTGTGCGGGGAGGTGCTGCTGCCACTCTGCCTCCCAGCGCGCTTGCGTGACGGAGACCCCCCTCCTCCTCCTCCTTCTCCTCCTCGCCCTCCCCGCCACGATGGTGCTGCTGACGGTGAAGGGCACGACGTTCCCGGACGAGTTCACCGTCGCGTGCACCGCCACCACCGCCATTGACGCCGCGCTGGCGCAGCGGCTTTGCCGCATCCAAAACGTCCGCCACCAGCTGAAGCTGCAGCTGCTCTCCGCCCGGGAGCTACTGGCGGAGGTGCGGCGAAGGCGGCCGCCAAAATCCCCCGGCGGCACTGGCGACGACGACGACGGCGAGGCCGCCCTTGCGGCTGCCTACGAGCGACTGATTGAGGCGACGTCCAGGCGCCTGCGCGACGCGGCGGCGCCGGTGACGCCGGAGGAGTTCGACGCCGCCGCGGAGGAGCTGCGTGGCATGACGGAGCGCCTCTACCCAGACGAGTGCTGCGTGCCCGCGGGGGGCCGGGACGCGGCGGTGGAGCGCCTCTACGCGCTCCATGAGACCCCCGAGCTGGACGAGGAGCGGCGACTGGTGGTGTACCACTGCCGCGCCGTCCTCGACCGGCAGTGGAAGCAGCACGAGCTGCAGCGCGAGGACGGGGCCGGGCTGTGGTTCTGCGGCAAGCTGATGGAGGGCGGCAGCCTCGCCAGGTACAGCGGGCGGAACGAGAAGAGCCGGCTCACGGTGAAGGTGCACCCGAAGGACGGCCCGGCACCGAGCGCGGAGCCGCGGATGAGCTACGACGACCAGCGCGTCCTCTTTGCGCGGATGCGCCAGCGACGCGAGGAGTACAAGACGCTCGAGGACTCGGAGCTGCGCGCGAGGGTGGCGGCGCAGACCCGCGGCAGGGTGGTGGTGGACGCCGCCAGTTTGCCCACTGCCGCCGCGGTGACGGTGGACACCGCGCGGCTGCGGCCCATTCGCCCCCAGACGGAGGAGCGCGACGTCACGTGATGGCGGCGGCAGCCACTTCCCCCGCCACCCCCAAACACAAACACACGCAAACATACGCACATCTATGCCTTCATACTATTTTTATATATGGCCCTGGAAGGGGCGTGAGAAAAAAAAAACGTAGTTAGAAGAGCGGCGGCGTTGGCGTCATTGCCGCGCCACTCCCTTCTTCTCTTCCTGGCAGCTTGCGTCCCCACGCCCTTCTTTTTTCGCCTTTCACTCTTCGTTATATCTCTCCCTGCGCCTGTGCCTGTGCCTGTGCCTGTGCCTGTGCCTGTGCGTGTTGCTTTGCCCCCAAGATAAATATCCCCGCCCCCGCCGACGGCAACGGGCACTGGGAGGCGGCAAAAGGTGCACGCAGCAGCAGAAGAAAAAAAGGGGTGTGGGGGGACTTGCAGGCCGCAGTATTTGGACAAATGACGTCCCTCAAGAGCGCCGCGCAGGAGCTGCGGGGGGCGGCGGCGGCGTTGGCGGAGTCACGCGGGCTGCAACCCGACGCGCTGCCGTGCCGCAGTGACGCCCTGCTGCTGCTCGCGGCTGCGGCACTCAAAGCCGTTGAGGCGGACGCCGCCGGCGCCGCCAACGTTGTCGCCGCCGCACGGGAGGCGCGGCGGCTGCTGCGGCCGCATCTTCCCCGCCCGCAGCAGCCGGAGGCGGAAACGGCGGCGGCGGCGGCCGGCCGCAAGCGCGCACGGGCCACGGCGGAGGACGCGGAGGACGCGGATCTCGGGCAGTACTCCCACGCACACGCGTTTGACGGCGACGCGAGGCGGCGCGCGAAGTTCGCCCGCCTCATGGGCGGCGGGAAGGGCGAGGAGTCGCACCACAACACCTTCGCCGCCGACGCCAGCACCGTCAAGCGCATCAACGGCGAACTCGAGGAGCAGTTCAACACGGCGCTTTCCCACCACGGCAAAAAAGGACTTGGCGCGTAGCGGCCCCAAGGCAAACGGCACCCAACAGGAGGAGTTTGCGCGATACACGAATAAGCAACAAAAAACAAACAAACAAAGAAACAAAAAAAGCACACACGAACCCAAACACAACGAAAACGAGGGCGATTGCCACTGCGCACACCCAGCATCTGCTCCAACCACCACCAGCAGCAGCAGCAGCAGTGGGCAAAGCTAAACGATAACACCAACCGCACACAACAACGACGGTTCTATACTGCGTCTGCCGCGTTTCTGTTCTCCCGCCGTACTCTTCACTACCTCTCCATCTGTTTCTCTCCCTTTTGTTTCTTTACCTCAACCGTTGTGAGCAGAAGGCTCAGCTCGCTGGCCCCGGCGGCTCCACTGCCGCGCCTCCCTCTGCGGGGACGGAGCGCGGGGCGAAGACGAGGACTCAGGCGCCCGCGCAGTTCTCGTGCCCGGGCGGTGGCAAGAGGTTACGTCGGCGCCTCGCCGCCGGTGGGGGTCGGAGGAAGTGCGCAGGGGGCCGGGAGAAAGAGGTAGATGCCGCCGTGAAGGGGCGCAGTTTCGGTGGGGCGGGCTGCACCTGCGCAAAGCGCACGAACCCCAGCCGAACTGCGCTGCCGCCCTGGCAGAGGCCGCTTGCGCGTTCACGGTGAAATGCAGCGCGGGCATCGACGGCGGGGGCGCTGTGCGTGTGGTCGGGGGCGGCGAAAAGGGGCGGCAGCGGCGCCTCCGCCTCTTGCCCGATTCTCCAGCGCGCCTGACGGCATGATCGCTTGCAAGTTGCAAAGACCCGGTGGAGCAGCCGCTGGGGAGGAAGAGGGTTCGCCGGGAGCGAAAAGAGCCCGGAGGTTGCCACCGGGCGGGCGGCAGATTTGCCTGCGGGGGGAGGGAGGCCGGGGGGTCGGTGCCGCGGGGCAAACTGCGGCGGCAGCAGGCAGTG